GTGTGTGTGTGTGTGTGTGTGTGTGTGTGTGTGTGTGTGTGTGTGTATGTGTAGCATATTGTGGCTTTCTTTGTAGTTTCTCAGGCATCTTATCGAGTAGAAATTTCAGTTATTTTAGTGTTCTTCAAGTGATGATTTTGGTTGCAAAACACACTTGTCTTTTTTAACTGCAGTTTTCTGCAAAGACCTCTCTTGCAGACTGATGCTCTCTAGGTTAACAACAATCTTCATCCTCTGTTTAAACCCTGAATTTTGTGGTTCTAAAATTGTTCAATGTGTCTTAATTTAAAACGTATTTACTCTCTCTTCCTTTAGGTTTGTGTGTAAAAATAATGGAGTCCTCTTTGAAAATCAGTTGCTACAAATTGGATTGAAGTCTGAATTTCGACAGAACCTGGGTAAGTTTTCCGGCAGAGCAGCTGTGTGAATTAATCAAGCGCAAAGCCAGCAAGATGTTGAGGTTAGGACTTGCTGTTAGAGAAGGAATGTCATTTCAGGCCTAACCTGTCCAGAAATCCTTGCTGTTTGTGTGTCCCTAACATCTGCGTGGGTCACTGTTTTCTTAAACTTCTCAGTTGTTTTGGTAGCTGAGATGAAGTGGGAGCCTAAGAGTACTGAGTTCCAGTTCTTGCTGCCTGTGTGCAAGGCTGATACAGACAGAGTTAAAAGGGACTGTTCTCCTGATTTTTATTTTTATTTTTTTTTTAATTCTACTTATTATTTGTTTCATGGTAGAGCTGGTTGTAGTAGTGTTTTGCACGGTGTATTTCAGACATATGTCTATCATAATACATTAACGTACTGGATCCTGAAAGCATCCAGTAGAGACTTAGGAATAGAGCACTTGACTTCTTCCCATCTCTATCGCTTTTAATACCATAACGACTTTTAAAGATAGAAAACAGCATTATCCAGTAACTAGAAGACTTCCACTAGTTATTTGATCATTTAAGTGCTTGTGTGATAGCTCCTGTTGTTTCATCCTGTGAATATCTTTACAATATAAAACCATATAGAGTACGCTGCAATTTAAAAATGTGATTTAAAGAATGGTAGAAAGTCAATGGATGAGGTACTTGAAGCACATACAGTCCAGTATGATTTTGTGTGATATACCTCAAGCTGCTAATGCCTCTGTTCTTTTGTTCCTAGGACGTATGTTCATTTTCTATGGTAACAAGACGTCAACACAGTTCTTGAATTTTACTCCAACAGTAATCTGCTCAGATGACCTTCAACCAAATATCCTTAAAGGCTGGTTGCCCATTCTTCAGGTTTTGTGTTTTATGCTGCATGTAAGGGTAATAAAGCTGCTGGATCAAGGCTTCTTGTCCTTGAACAGGAAGGAATAGGAACTTGCTGATGCCTTTCTGAAGTTTTTATCAAAATCTTGTGCAGAGATGGAAGACTCTCTTTCTAAAACTCTGATTACAGAGATGTTGTTTCTGTGGAAATAAGGGGATATTATTCTGAGTGTATTATTCTTTGTAAGCATGTAATGTAACTCTAGCTTTCTCTGCTGCCATGAAGTTGCTGAGGTATAAATGTGGTGTCCTGCATTATCAGAGGACTTCTGACGAGCTGTAAGTAGAAGAGTACGTGTGCTCAAATATGACAGTACTTGAAACTAAGCTTTTAGTTTACAGTTTCTACTTAATGCTTTGCATTGCTAATTGAAGGAGTGTATGTGACTAAATTTGTTTGACTCAGCATCACTGCAATATTCACATCAAAATAACGTAGTTTGGTGGCTTACATTGTAGGGAGTCTGCCTTCAAACCTTTTTGAGGCATCTTTCTTAAGGAATTTTCCTGTAACTCTGGGAATCATGGGAGTTATTGCTTCTAGATGTGTCAATATGAAAATAATATTTTTAGCTTTACAATAATTAGACTTCAAATTTTCGGAAGCATAGAGAGAGCCAGTGGACACAGTGTGAATTCTTCCTGTAGCTTACCCGTAACTTTTTAATAAACAGCAAATATTGTCAGTTTGTTGCTCAGTTTCCTTAGCTACTTTCATGCCTGAATCTTCAGACAAAACCTGTTGACCCCACAGTGGATGGAGGTGCACAGGTTCAGCAGGTCGTGAACATTGAATGTGTATCAGACTTCATGGAAGCTCCCATTCTGAACATTCAATTCAGGTAAAACCGCAGTAGTTCAGTGCTATTGATTTAACAAAAGAAAGCATGTTTCAGTTGCCACGGCTCTCGAACTGATGTGTAGAATATAGATGCACAAAGTCCAAAGCTATCTTGGGCAGATGATTTACCTGAACATTTGATACAACAAAACTTGAAGCTACCAGAGGAGGGAAGGAATGCATTGGGAACAGTCTGATTTAAAAAAAAAAAAAAAAACAACAAACCACTGATAAAATGTCTCAAATGCTTCTGTTTCTGCTATGCATATAAGCCAGCTGTCATCTTTTCTCGTGAAATCTTGATGGGGAATATATGTTGAATCTTCTTCCTTCTGGAAACTGAGAACGTTTGTGCAAAAAAAGCTTGGATAAGAAATGCGTGTAGCTGAAACCAGAATCTTGTTATGTCAACTCAACATCAGCCTTTGGGAAAGATTTGTGTTTACAGTCCTGGTTTCTGGACTGTGTTCTGTTATTCAAGTCTTAACTGTTTTTTTACTGGTGTGAGTATCTGGAAGGGTAGCAAACTATGTTGAAACAGATTCTTAGTAGAAATTCTGCCGACTCACTTTCATGTGTCATCTAACAGAGAAAATAAATCCATACATCACTGGATGTTACATCCAGTTACGTCTGTAACTTACAAATGGCATCATCTGCAGTTGATGGATGTTAATGATCAGACAGTCGCATCTTACAGTTCCTCCTCGACTGCCTGGTTAATTTAGGATGAGAAACTGCACGCACTTTGTATGACACACATCATGTTCTGTCTACTCTGTATGCAGGTACGGTGGAACATTCCAGAATCTTTCAGTAAAATTACCCATCACACTGAATAAATTTTTCCAGCCAACAGAAATGTCTTCTCAAGACTTTTTCCAGCGTTGGAAGCAACTGAGCAAGTAAGACCTTCTGTGTATTTATGCTTGGGGCTTTTGTGGTACACCAAGGAAGTAAAAGGGTATATTGTGAATGTGGCTCATACATGCGTAGTCTTGTGAGCTATAGGCTCCTCCTGTAAAATGAGTTGCTGCTCAACAATTCTGAACATACTGCATGTTAAGAAATATTCATCTTGCCTTGTCTTGCAGTCCTAAACAAGAAGTACAGAACATCTTTAAAGCAAAGCACCCAATGGATGCAGAGATCACAAAAGCAAAGGTTGGTGGTGGTGTAGTATCTTGTAGCGGTATAAGGAAACATTGTTCATTTTAGCTTGTATGACAACTAGATTATCCTGTCCACGTGTATCTGACCCTTGGCAGGGCTGGGCTGAGTGAACTGCTTCTTGGTATGGAATGAATTAAGTGTAGTCTTCAGCAGCAGCTGGAAACCTGAAGCTATGTATGAAAGCATAAATTTAGTGCTTAAAATTGAATTGGAAAAAATTCTGGCCTTAATGTACTAGGGTCACTAGAGGGAGAATAAAACAGCATAGCACTCTGGTCTTTATAGAGCTATCTGTCTGTCTTAGGCAAAGCAGAAACGACTCTAGTGACAGCAGAAATGGCTTTACCAAAAAGAGGAGAGGTTTAACTCGAATCTTAGTAGTTTCTCAGTAATTTTCCTCAAGGACTCTTTTCAGGTTCAGCTCGGCAACAAGCATAACTCCATCACGTTAAAGATTTCTACTGTACTAACACTGACACTGAATAACTTCTTTAATCTTTTCACTTGAAACTAATCAGTCCCTTGCTTGCTTTACTAGTGAATGGTGGCTGTGATCGGGGTAAACTTTGGTATTTTTGTCTGTATTTTGGTATTTTTTTTGTATTTTACTGTTCCCACTTGTAAATCTTCTGGATCTCTTTCACAGATAATTGGCTTTGGATCGGCCCTACTTGAGGAGGTGGATCCCAATCCTGCTAACTTTGTTGGTGCTGGTATCATACATACAAAGACTACTCAGATTGGATGCTTGCTGCGCCTTGAACCCAACCTCCAGGCACAGGTATCTTCTTGCATCTACTGCATAAATACAAATTCCTGTCTGTGCTAAATTGAAAAAGCAAGTCTGTATCTGAAATTCCTTAAGGTATTTAAAGAAAATATCTTTTGTAATCGCTAATTGTGATTGAGAGCTTTAACAAGAAATGAAATTGCAGCAGTTAGTCCTGACATAGCTTGGTAAGCTGCTGCTTCATAGGAATTCTCTTCCATGTGCATATCACTGTATTATTCCAGACTGTCTGTGGATTATCTTCCCTGGAAGGCTGGAAATGTTCAGTTTATTCTTTTGTGCACCTTGGACAAGGCTAACTACAACTTCCTTTGTCATTTAAGAAGAATGAAAAAATGATGTGGCTAAAAAAAAAAAATCATATGCAAATGAACATAAAACTGTTTAGAGGAAAAATATCTGTAAAAGCATTTTGCTAGAGGTTTTATGAAATTTAAGTGAGGACTAAAAATAAATTTTGGGCATCCTGTTTTCCAAACAAATGATAGTAGAGTCTTTAGACTTCCCCACAACACACTCCTTTAAAAGGAAAAACCAAATCTGGGACATCAATTTGTCATTAAAGCTTAGAAACATTAGAACAATGGCAGCTTTCCCAACAAGGGTTTGAAAGAGCTGAATTGCTAGGTGGCTGCCTGCTTCTGAATGTTGTAACGTGAGGTCTTATCAAATCTATCAGAACAAGTAAATAGTAACTGGTTAACTTTCACTTGTTGGCAGTATATTAATTTAAAACCAAACTGCGTTTAAAAATGTGTATATTTGTGTTCTTTTTCAGATGTATAGACTCACACTACGAACAAGTAAAGAAGCTGTATCTCAGAGATTATGTGAATTGCTGTCAGAACAGTTTTAATACTAACCATGACAGTTTTTTGTTTTTCCATTTATATCATTGTCATCATACTGCAAATAAATGTCTTGTACATCACTGTCTGAGTACTGCAATGTTAACCAATACCAGCTCCCTGCCTTAATAGGACTTGCCCCTTGTTTGAAATTGTGAGTGTGAAATGTACAGTACAGGGAAGTGACTTTTTACATTAAAATGGCTTTTAGTATGTTACACAAAGTGTGGGAGGGCTGTCTTTGTGTTTCTTTTATTGCAGAGGTCCCACTTTTAAACTTGTTAAAGGGAAATTGACTTTGATGTAGTAACCTCGGGCTTCAACTGGAAATGGCTAGTAACATTCTGCCTCAGTGCCTTTAACAGGTACTCCCTCTGCTCTGAGCTGAAGAAAAAATGTATTGCTGCTCTGTAGAGTCAATTCAGACGTTAATATATCGCCAGTGTAAAGTTAGACATTGCTTCAGGTGTTGTACTGGATGGGAAGGGCAGATTCCAAGGTGTGTTTGAACCTGATTTACGTGAATGCTTATGTTGACTGTCACCAATTTTTGTTCGATTTGAGAAATGCCACAGGTCCAGAGTCATAAAACCTTAATCTTCTAATTCTTTACATCTTAGCTGTTTTTTTGATCTTTGGAAAGTGGATTGAGCACAAAAGCTATTCTTAATCCTTCTGCTTATCTCAAATAATGAGGTGAGCTTCTTTGGTAGGTAGTGAATGAGTACGTGTTTGTTTAGTCAAACTGAAATATTCTGTTTCTTTTCTTTTGCTACCCTTTAGATTTAGCGAGTAGCAGTCCTGATGACATAGCTGATTGCAGAGAGTGTGGGTTCTCATTAGTGTGGTATTGTATAAAAGGAGAAGAAGGAAAAAGTGGGCACTTGAAGGCTAAGGCATGCACTTTGTAGACAAATATTTAATTTTAAACTATTTTCCCCCTGATGTACAGTGCTAGAACTTGAGAGGCTGAATAACTGGTATCTGTACAGTTTCCAGTCTGTTACTGGTGGTAAAAATATCCAACACAGTGTGGAAGACTTGTGTTGAGATTGGGAGTAGAAAGGCTGAGCGTGTTCAGCTTATACAGGGGCTTCTGCAACCAAAACCATTATAGCTTGTTCCACATGAGCAAACTCTCTGCACAACAAAGTGGGCTTAAGTTTGGCTCACGTTGTTCAAGTCTGGAAATGCACTGAAGGCTGTTAAAACAAAGCAGGTGAGGTAGGGGTTAGGAACTGTGGGCAGTTGTCAGTGAGCAGTACTACAGGTCAGGATGAACCAAGAGATCAGCTGCTGCTGATGTGAGGAGTGAACCTCAGATCAACATTCTCTTCCTTGAAGGAAGTTTAGGACTGTTGTCTCACAACTCATACAGCCAAATAAAGGCTTTGGGTAACAGGGATGGCTATGAAAATGAGAACACTGCTTTGCACACAGGAGGGGAAAAGATTCTACTTGGGTGACTATGGTTTGCTTTCTATCAATGCTTAAGAGTTACAAGATGGAACGAGGCGATGAGAGTTTGGTTTGGTTGAAGGCTTGTGATCGTACTCGAGTACCAGAGAACTGAGGAGCAAAGGTTGGACTGTGATGTGTGTTTTTTTTCCAGAAGTGTTTGGTAAATATGGACTTCATTGGATGTAAAGTTGTCTATAGACCTTGTCTTTCTGGAAAAGTTCTCTTGAACAGTTGACCCTTTCATGGCCTCTCGAGCATCTAATCAGGGCTCTCTGATCACAGATAATATCATATCTTTTGAAAAATCTTCATAAGCATTTCCTGCAGTCAAGTTGGTAGTTGGCAAAGTCCTACCAAACTACCTTGTATTTTGTCCTTTGGAGGCTGTGTGATCTTTATTAATCCTGTTGTCTTAACCATGTTGTTGGCTACTGTGTTAAAAATCCGTTGTGCTGAACTAAGGGAGTCTTAGCAGAGACAGGGAGAAGCTTCATTCATTTTTTTCCCCAGTTCCTATTGTACATCTGTTTCTCTGGATATGTTCTGTGCCCTTGTCAAAGGACATCTCAAGACACGCTGTACTATACTAGTTCACTTAGCTTTGGTTCCAGCTGTGCTAAAAATGTGCATTAAAAATATGGGTAGGAGGGGGGAAAGGGAAAGCGTCTTTTCAGTGGTGACTGTATTAAGCTTATGATTGTTCACGTTTTGTATTAGATGTCAGCTCAGTGAAGCCATGAGCAGAACAGTGAACAAATTAAGGGTAAATACTTGATTTTTTTATTTTGGTTTTTTTTTTTTTTTTGTGAATGATGGTTAACTTACCAAAGTGATGTATCCTTTCAAGCAGACAAAGTAATTTCTGCAGTAAACAGTGTTATTGTTTTCAAGTACAGTATTTTCAGGCATTGATGTGTGAAAATAACTGAATAGCAAAACAGGTAGCATTTGTTCATTCTTGACCTACACTCCAGTATGTAACATTTATGGTGATTGTCTTATTTGTATAAAACAAAGTTCTGTCAAATTAAGTGGAGAATTTTCATATAGAAGACTATATATTAGACTATATTCATCAGAAGAACATATTAAGATTAAATAAATGATTAGAACGGTAATCAGACTGTCCTTTTTTGTCTGGGGGAGTGGGAATGTAAGGGATAATTGCCCAGAATGGTTGTTTTATTCCAAATATAATGTTTCGGAAGAGCAACTGATGTGGGATGGTAAATTCTTTCCTACAAACTTCTGGTGGATTGTTTTGGTTCAGTCTTACCTGGCCTGTGGATCAGAGTTTGGATTTTTCTGTTTGTTTTGTTTTGGTTTTGTTTTGTTTTGTTTTTATGTTTGGTTTGGTTTTATTTTGGTTTTGTTTTGGTTGTGTTATAAACACTCTACAGTGAAAACTTGATGTAGAATCTTCCTTTCTAAGCCTTTGTATATTTGACAGTGGCTGAGCATATAAACACGAACAGTCCATGTAACAGTAAATTGATGTAACTCATCACAATACTTTAACATAACTTGAAATTACTGTTTTCCGGATTTCAGCTGTTTCAAAACAGTGGCTCTTTCCTTGTTTCTCTTCATTGCAAGGCATAAATAGCAACTTAGATGGTGACTCATACATTGCTTTCCATGGCTACAAAAGCACACATCTGTTATTACACCCAGGCAGGATTTGGAAGAAGTTACTTGGCTGTAAAAGAAGAAAGTACCTGAGCTGTTAAATACTGCACTCGAACTTTTTGTTTGTTCGTACTTTGCTTCAGGCTCTTAGTGGTTGTCTAAAACTCACTTAAAATTCTATACAACTCTTTCTCAATTGAATTGCAAATAGTAGTTTAAAAAAAAAAAAATTGTCTCTGCTAGCAGCAAGTGGAAATTGCTTGGGTGGACTACCTTCTTCCTGATAGATTTATTGTTTGGTAACTGTTTTGATGCTTCAAAATGTAGCAGACGATTATCCTGCAAATTTCTTCTTTGTCTAAAAGCCACTGCTTATCTGTGTTAATGACATTTTGAGAAATGCCCCACATGAAGGTTGCACAGATGTACCTCCTCCCGCAGAGGTTTTGGCTCATGTAGCACCTTGCAGTCTGACAGCTGCTGCCTCCAGAAGATGAGCACAAGCACTGCACCTGCTTTCAGAGGAAAGGCAGTGGCTTGCCTTGGTCGTCTGTTTTCCTGTTTTGTGCAGTAATGGGCTAATCCACAGGTCCTAGTTCAAGTGTAGTGAACCTAACAGCCTATTTGCAGGTAAAATAATTGGTCATGCAGTGAGGAATGATTTAACAAATCCAATTCCTTCTACTTTATTTGAAAGTCAAAATTCTGTTATTGCACAGTGCACAGGCCAGTGTTTAGCCTCTAGTTAAGTATTGCCTTGAACAAGGCTAGATGTTCTCTGACAGTCTTTGCTCCTAAACCATGCCCACTCTTTCTCCCCACCCCTTCCCCTCAAGATTAGGAATAATTCATCATTCAGTTAATTTAATTGATGCTCCAGCCCACTGTTCAGGAAGCTCCCTGCAAGGCTAACCTGTATAATCAGTACAAGAGAACTCCCTGCAATGAGCAGTTGCCATGGAAGTATTAGGTTGTAATTAATTGTTAATATTTAACAAAATTAAAATAAGAAGTTTAAAAAAAAAAAACCAAAAACCAACAACACCTGTATCTGAAGCTATCAGAAGGTCTGGCTATTGTATGCAGCTGTCAAAGTTGCAAACGCAGCCCCCAAACACGGTAATTTCCTTAGTGAGCCTTTTGCCAGGGTTATCTGGGTCTTCGCATGGTAGCTGAAATTCCTCCTTATGGAGCTGTAATGGCCTGCAACAGCTGCATGCTGCATTGAGCACCATGTTCTCAACATTCAACCTGTTTGGAGGAGAGGGAGGATCAGGTAGGACTTGCTTACAGCCTTTTAGGTTTTGTTCAAGAATGGAATTTGGAACAGTCTTGTGCAAGCAGTGCAGAAGCAGCTCATCCACTTGGTGCTTTGTCATTGATTAGGTCTGCAAAATGTGTAATAGATGAAACAAGAAAATCTTTCTGGGCTTGCATGGAAAAGATATTTAGGTAAGAACAGCTGTGAACAGAAGAAAAGTTGGTAGTCTGACTGTTACCTTCAATAATTAAAAAACCAACCCAAACCTTGCAGTATTGCCATACTTTGTTCAGAAGTTTAGGTGAGAAGATATTCCCTGTGTGCACTGTAGTTCTCTACGCACTGTTGTTCTGTACAGGTGCTCTTTCCAGTTAGCTGGCTCGTACCCCAACACTACATTGCTGGGTATAGATCACACACATCTTTTTCTAAAGATTTTGTAAAGGGAGTGATAGCTGACAAATAGCACTACTCACAGGTGCTAAAGAAGAAACAGCCTTAGTGTACTTATATTATAGAAGCTCTCCAGTATCCTTACTTTGCTGAAGATGGACACAGTCCTTCACATCGGCTCAAAGTGATGTTTGCAGAACAGCCTCTGTAAGTTATGTTTTCTTCATATTCCACTTTTTTACAAAACTCTGTCAAACACAGAAAAAGGACAACAAACATCTATATGAATGATGGAGTCTAAAAATTAAGTCTAAAAAACTTCTATTCCTGATACTGATG